TTACTGGTCAAAACCAATGTGAAGCTACTCATACCGACTCTAAAACTATTTGACAATTCAATTGCTGCTCCTCCCGGAGTATAGATAACAATCTATACATCGAAATGGCAAATCCCAACAATTGAAACTGGACCTCAACGAACCAATCGCCTCGAACTCAACCATTGCAACCCCGAAGAGTCATTGACCATAATAAGATCCCTGACGCACGAATACTTGTCGTGGGTACACTTGTGCTTTCTTGAACACATACAATATGCATCATATCGCTCTGCACCTTGCCTCGTCCACCAATAAATCCAAGTCTCATATGTCCGTACCACAGATCCCCATAACCAAATCTTCTAACCACAACTTAAACAGATTGTTGATCCTCTCAACAGAATACCCAGTTCTCCCCCACTCAGGGTTCAACCATCACCAATTGACATATCACCAGTCTACTCCACAAACTGTTTCACCATATACACCACACTTTGGCTCTTGGAACGTACTACGTAACACTTGATGATCTTCCAAAGAAAGACCAAGCAACTCCATATATCTCGAGTCTTATATGAAATCCTCGGAACTACCCAATGTGACTGTCTCCAGTCACCCAGAACCTCGTCCAACTGCACATTAAATTATTCCGACGGTCCAAGAATAACACTATCTCTTTTCCTGGAGATAATGGACTATCACACACTTCGTTCTCTGAATCCTCAATCATCACCCCACTATAAGAATCAACATAGCACGGGAGACCTCACTCTCACAGTCGATCCGCTGCATAGCCACAGAAGTCGTCATCTCGTGATACTCCTCTCGTTTTCCTACAACAGTTGCTAATATACGACTTACCAAACTCAAACAAGGCATAATCAAGCCCTCGTTGGTCACAGTCCCCACTAATGACTCCTTCCCGGCATACGAATGTAACTCAATGCTCTCATACAACAAAATACTCTTGGTGCCAATATTGCCACTACCTCGTGCCCCCCACAGGGTCTTCTTCTAATCTCTGACATCAGAAACTCACTCATCCATCCTCTCAAAATGGGAAACAGGAACAATATAATCCTCAATATAGAACTTTGACATCACAGGCCATCGCCCAACCACTCAACTTAGACTGCAACCCTCCACGATGCATCATCTCCACCCCCTTAATAGAGTCTCGGGACTCCAACTGACACCTCACCAGTCAAAACCCTCAAGATCTAAACTCAAATTTTCCCACCTAGGGCATACTCCATTTAAGCTCAACCAACATGGCTCTCTGGCTCCACAATCTCCCATATCCACTCCCAGTCTGAATAATCACAACCGGATAACTGATAAAGGCGAAAGCACACTCTGCTACGAATCATGGTGCCCGAACCATGTTATTTCTCCTCATCCTGCTGCTTAGAACCTTCAGAATTCTCCCTGTTTCGAGTATGGGTCCTCTGCTTTGAGTAGTACGGGCCCATACTACCTGCCACATCTACCCATACTTTCCACATGGAGCGTCTCAGGTTTTCTAAGTAACTGCTCAACCTTCTCGATCACCATTCCCATTACACATGCTCGCTCTCTAGCAAATACTCACCTCTAAATAGCGTACTCATCGGACTAGAATTACTCTCTAGGTTCTCACACTTCTCTGCCATTAGCTTCTGAAGAACTCCTTGTGATGCCAGCCATCTACCTCCTGAATATCGTCATATTCACTTAGTAGCTGACTCCCATCATTCGAGAGTTCCACAAAGCACAAAGCAAGCAGCATTCGGTCATTGAATAACCAGCACATGAAACCACTCTAGTATACCACTCCACTCGCTCTTCTCATAAATCAAAAGACATCATCGAACTCAGGCAATCTTACCTCTCGTGGATCTCTAACTACTCTCTCAGTAGATTCCTCAAATGCTCGTCTAGGTATCTCTCCTATATTACTCCTCGACTCAAGACTCCCTCTAAAAGATTCCTGGTAGGTACTTATACTCAGTACATACAGAGCAAATAGCAGATAATATCAATTAATAGCCTCCCCTAGGCTAAGACATCATGAATAAGGAAACTCTAGCCTTAATTTCTAAAATACCTAGCCTATCATCTACCATGCAGCTCTAATATCTCATACATATCTCATAATACAAACAAATAATGGTATTTTGGGAAATCACCATTCGGGCTCAGGCTGATTGTACACACTGCTCCATGTCGTTTTCCCTTTAAAACTCTTCTTCGTTGTAGAAAAGTCATTTCTTTTTAGAAAATTTTCTCAAACCCTTAGATTCAGTTCAGACATACTCGAGAGCACATCTGAATCCCTCAAACCAAGGCTCTGATACCAACTTGTAACACCGTAAATTTTCAAGCAAAATTTTCATTTTAAAATCACATAGATCTCATCAACACATATCACAAAATAACAAAAATATCAAATTATCAAAAACACATGTTCATAGTTGTTTGAATAAAATCCAGGATCCTCAGAAACATAACTCCAACTCGTGTGTACAATCAAGCCGGCGCCTTCCCGTGATCCTAAGAAGTACCTGAAACACATAATACATAACACGGTAAGCACAAAGTATAGTGAGTCCCAAAAATACCACACACATCTCGATAGCCTCTCATGGCTACATCTTGAATAAGACCCTCCGGTCGATGTGTATCAGTGGAACCCTCTGGTTCCGCAACTCGGGTGGACCCTCTGATCCTATCCCAACAATGCACATAATAATACTCATCATAAATCATAAAAAAAAATGCATGATATCACATATCTCAGTATAAGCACATAAGGTCAACATATACACAGATTACTATAACAGCATAAGTCACAAAGACATTATGCACGATAACACACATCACATTATAAACAAATACGAACGTCTGGTCAATAATGTACTAAGACTCTCTGGTCTACAATGTACAGAGACCCTCTGGTTAATAATGTACTAAGACCCCCGGTCAATAGTGTAAATAGGATCCTCCGGTCAATAACAAGAATAAGACCCTCCGATCACACATAAATTACCACACGGGTAAGTACAGTGAGAAGACTTACCTCGGATGGCAGACAAATCCTATAAATGCTGTTGCTGTACTCCGGCCTCTACCAGTGAGCCAAATCCATAATTAACCTCATTAGGATCTCAGACCATACCTCCAAATAGTAGGTCTAAATATGGTCCACCAACCCGGCCCATAAATAACCCAAGCCCATTGGGCCCACCAAGGCCCAATACCAAATGGGTCCACAAAGGTCCATCGATGACAAACCTATGGCCTAATTTTCCAAATTGGGCCCAAACCCTCTTTTGGGCCTTACCCTAAAGCCCATCTACATATTCTAGTCCACATGATTGTTTTTGGATGGCCCATCAATAGCCAAACATCAAAGCCCAATAGAAAGGACCAACTCATGGCCCAAGCAAAGTTAGGGTTTTCACATGAAATGACAATTAGGGTTAGGTGTTATCACTTAACCCATTAAGTCCATTATTTCACTAAGCCATCATACAACGGAAATCGGCATGAGTTATAACTCCAGTCCACTGGTCCAAACGCGGGTCGCTATAGGTCCAAACCAACAAACCCAAAAATTAGGGTTTTCTAAACCCTAATTAGGGTTTTAAGCCCAATCACGAGGCAGCCCGGTCCAAGATTAAGTGTTTAGTTTCATTAGGGTTCCACCATAATGGGCACCACCCACTGGCACCTTGGGCAGTGGTGGTCGGCGGTGGCTCACGACGGCAGGCGAGGTAGCCACCATTTCCAATGGTGGTGGTGGTGGTTCCTGCCCAAAGAGTGCATAAATAACCTCACACAAAAAATACACACGCACACATCCACCTCCCATGGTGGCTAGTGGCGGCAAAGGGCGGCAGACAGCGAAAATGGGTGGCAGCCACCACCTTGAGGTAGTGGTGGTGGATTTTCCGGTCCATTAATTCGCATATAACACCACAAATGCCGAGAATAGTCTATATACTCGATCATACACATGCTCAGCCACCTCACAGGCAGCTGCCATTATGGAAATGGGTAGAAACAGTGGCCATAAGGTCACCGACGGCAGGCGGCGACGTCCCACGATGTCCAACCAGTAGAAACGAAGAAGAAGAAGGAGGATGGGTGGCTAACAGTCTTTTCGAAAGCTTCTCTTCACGTACAAACTGCACATCGACGTACATGATCTATTTTACCGATCCCGGCGGTCCTCCGGTTGCAGGTGTCGTGATGGCGGCATCGTCGGCATTGAAGCGGCGGCGACGGGTCTTGGCGTTGCAACGGCGACAGAAGGTACTCCCATGGTGGCGGCTGAAATCCCGTGCCCTAGGGTTAGGGTTGAGTCGTGTATACGGGAGGGAAATAGATCACCGGTTGATCCCGCTGCCCTCCAAACTTCCATTCATTTTTATCACATCCAGTCCCTCCTTACCCGATTTTCTTCAAACTAAGTCCAAAAATTTACCTAATAACCCCCGCCCTCAGAAATCTTTACAAATTGAATCCGGAATTTACCATTTAGTCCTTTCTTCCCACAATCTATTCAAATTAAGTCCCAATAATTTACCAATCAGTCCCTGCCTTCATAAATATTTACAAACCACTCCGGAACTTACACTTTTAACCCCAAAATTCTTAAGTCGTGAAAATTAACTCCTCGAGGCCAACACCTTTCTATATTATTATTGATTTTAGGCTACTATTCATATTAACCCTTACCCATTTGTTCATTTAATATACGG